GGCAAGGCATGCGTTTTGCCCCCCCTGAAACGGCCGCCACTGGGCAGAGCAGACACAGGCCGGCGGCGCCCAAGGAATACCAAGGGCACTGCCCCCCGAACCGCGCGGGCATATTTTTAACGCGCAGGCGATACAAACCCTAGCAACGGTGCTCACGCACGCCGGATTGGCTGGTTCGTAAAGTCTTGCTCCACGAACAAGGCTACATGGTAACCTTACGGAATCCATCCGCGAGACATGGGCCGGACGGGCCGTCCAGACCAGGACGTAGGCCCTTACACAAAATAAAGTTTTGCTTGCTTGCTTGGAGATAGGCGCTGCCGCCGTCAACATAGGCAGCGGATGCAATGCGAGTTTCCGAAGAGGTAGCGTAACTTAGTGGTGAGATGTCTGCCTCATACGTGTCAGACCCGGGTTCTATTTATGGTGTGGGCCGGCTTACTTCTTTTTATTTTTTTTTCTCGAACATTTTGTTTTGTCGAGGCATTTGGCAATATTTACATTTCTTTTTTACCATTAACACTAAAAAAACGAATGTTGTTGACGAAACATCGCTAAACTAAATCGTATCGACTCTATTTACGGAAGTGCATGGGGGGCAGCGGGGCTTGGGTTGCCGACCGGACGCCGCAAAGCGGCGTGTACGGGGGTGGGGGGGGGGGGGGGGGGGGGGGGCTAGGTGGGTTAATAGATTTGTAATTAGCAGCCGCACACCGTCACCGCGAAGCGACGTGAACGCAGGCGCGGGGGTGGGTTAACGCGCTTCGAGTGATACACTAGCAGCCCATCCGGCGTGAGCGTCGTTGTTAGGGGTTCTATCGCCTGCACCGTAAAAGGAGCAGTGTGTGCACCTCCTGTAGTGGGCAAGAATTCCTACATTGCAGAGAAGCGGGGACAAGCCCTTTCTTCAAATGCGTCAAGTCTCCTTGAGCTTCGGAATACAAAGAAACGCCACTATTTGGAGCTAATCCCACAGTTACTCGACCTCTCTTGCGTCGTGTCTGTTCGCTCCCCGCGCCTCGTAGCAGTGTTGTTGCAGTGGGGGGGCTCGTTAAAATTTTGGGGTTTTTTGGACTATCTAAATCACTTTCTTCCTTCCCATCCCCCCCTTTTCTACTCCGCATGCTTCCCCCTCTGCAAATATCAGCTGACCTTCCGACCTCTGTTCTCTGTTGATAGGCAAAACAACCACTAAAATTAGAAAGTAATTTGTAATTTGAGTGGAAGTCACTCGGAAAAGTAGTTAAAGTAAACTACTGATTACTAGAATAGAAATGTAATTAAAAGTTACTAAACTACCCAGAAAAGTAGTTAAACTACAGGAACTTGAGTAAAGTAGTTGAACTACGTACAAGTCTGGCCTGGCAAGCGCTCTGCGTAAGTGTTTTCACTGATCTGCCTAGCCCCGCACACCATCACATGGGCCAAGAAAGGTGTAGTTTTACTACAGAGGAGAAATCAGCAGGGTCCAAGATGGTGACAATGGAGGATGGGGGACTGTTCCAGTGGCTGATGGCTTGAGAAAGGAATGACCAATTGAAAGCGTTCGTAGAGCCAGAAGTGTGTTTGATGGTGCAGACGTTGTTGAGGCGAGAAGATGTTCGGTCGAGGGGTAATAACAAAGTGGTTTTGAGGTCGGGAATGTGGTAGTAGATTTTGTGAATAAGGCACAGCTGAGAGACTTTCCTGCGAAGCTGCAAAGAGGACATGGTTAGTTCAGTTTTTAGCGCCGAGACACTGAAAGAAAAGTCATAAGTGGATGAAATCAAGCGAGCAGCTCTGTTCTGAACTGCCTCTACAGCGTATTGATGAGGTACAGTCGATGGGTATTCCAGATGGTTGAAGCATATTCTATTTTTGGTCTGACGTACGTGTTAAAGGTTAGCTTAGGGACAAAGGGTGGAGCGATTTTTTAAGTTACGTCTGCTTAGTCCAAGAGTTCCAGATGAATCGGCGGTAATGACTTCAATGTGGTTATTCCAGGGAAGGTCAGATGTTAGTCTTACACCAAGGTATTTATACACAGTAGCGGTCTCAATCAGATCGGAGTCCAAGAAGTAATTAAATGACAGAGTGTTTTTTTTCTTGTTGAAGTGGATTAGTTTGCGTTTATACTTGTTTAGTGACATAATCCACTCTTTGCACCAATTGTTAATTTTATCTAGATCTTCCTGAAGCTGCATGGTTATTATTTTGCACACAAGTTACTTTGTTATGGATGACGCAGTCGTCGGCGAAAAAGCGTTTTTTTTGAAGAAATCCCAATGGGAATGTGATTAATAAATATTAAAAAGAGTAAGGGCCCAAGTACGAACCCCAGGGGAACACCAGGAGATACATTTATTAAGGAAGATTCATGATCATCATGGACGTGACCTGTACACGGGAAAAAAGAAAGTCACGAATCCATGCAAACGGTTATTGGTCGAGGCAAAAAGATGATAGCTTAGAAAGAAGGCGTTGATGGAGAACACGGCCGAACGCTTTGGGAAAAAAAAAAAAAAAAAAAAAAAAAACTGCGTCACTTTGGACGTGACATTCAAGGTTAGTGTGCAAGTCATGGATGAAGTCGCAGAGTTGCGTTTCGCAGGAAAGTACCTTTTGAAAACCGTGCTGCTATTTAAAGAAAAGAAATGGGATGATAGGTGCCTCATGATATTGGAGTAGAGGATATGCTCAAGTAGTTTGCAAGAAATTGAAGTCAATGAATTAGGGCGATAATTAGATGCGGAAGAGCGGCTGCCCTGTTTAAAGACTGGGAATTACCCTTCCCACCTTTTGGTCAGATGGAAGGCAGCTTTGAGATGAGGACTGAATGAAGATGAGTTTCAAATACTCACTAGAAATAACACGGGTGTTTCTTTTAAATTTTAGGGTTGATGTTATCGGTTCCAGCGGACGAAGTAAGTTTTAGTTTATCAATCAATATTTTAATACCAGCGGAGTTAACGTTAATAGGATGCATGCGCTCGTAAAGCTCTTCAGGGAGAGCGGGGACGAAGTCCAAGCACTCGTTAGTAAACACTGATGAAAAGTATTCGTTAAACACAGAACTATCATGCTCGACGTTGCACATCCGACATTCCTAACTCTCCCCATCTTCCTAAACGTCCGTGTGTGTCCTAACACCAGAAACCGGAATTTTAAAGGTTAAAAACGGCACGTTGCGAATATGGAACGCGCACTTTCATGCAAAGCTGACGTCAAGTGACTCAAATCGAAAAACATGCATATTTACAGTATTGTTATCTCTTCTGGTGAAGGCTAAGCAACCGTTGCATCCATTTTCGCGCACGAAACGGTGACTCCCAGAGAAAGTAAGAACGCAGTGATTGTCTTTATTTTAACAATGTAAACACACTTGCAGGCGTGCGCTGATGAAGCCTCAAAATCAAAACTCTCGTGGTGTGATTCGTGACTGCTCCGGCTACTACCCAACCTTGTTGTCACGCCACTTTCTGCAAGCAAACACTAAAATTGCCAGTAAACACACAAAAGCGACATCGATACAATTATCTTGTAGAATATCACCTTATTTAATCATAACTGTTTCAATAGGCACTACAAGTTGTATTTATTTTAAGAAGAAGCAAAATTTTTTTCGTGAGAAAAAACAAAATATCAATGTTAAGTCTGGTAACGTTGTAATTTTGCCGAATCATTGCCATATCTTTAGAAAACTTCGACAAAAGTTGCGCCGAATTTTCGATTAAGGGGGGGGGGGGGGGAAGAGGGTCGGGTTTGCCCCCCCACTCAAAAACAAGTTGGTACGCCACTGTTAATATCGTAAACTGCAAAAACAACCATCCACAAATATTATGAAAGCGTACACTTTCCCTTTAAAGGTGACACTGTTCTTAATTCCCTGCTCTTTCGATCGACATCTGCGCGGGAACTACCGTGACACCCAGGACAAAGAAGGTGGACTTGTAACAATCCTGAGCATAATTTGCCTGCACTATCGCGATAAAATCTAACCCAAGCGCTCCCCCGTGTCAGCCGCTACTCCTAGCACTCCCGTGGAAAGCAGTGAAGCCCGTCGCACGCGCGCTGGTGAGAGGCGGTGAAGGTTCACGCTAGCGGCGCAAGCGCCATTGTACCCTGCGGCCACGCCACCAAGACACGATAATCAAGTGATCCCATCAGTACTACTACTAGGCTCCGGTTCTGTCTTATCACAGTAGCAGTAATCCTACCATTTTGCAAGTTTTCTCTCGATTCTTTTAGCTTCCAACATCGCCGCCGTCACGTCTGGGAATTTAGACGATGTCGGCGATCGACCGGCCAACGGAACCGGCCAGAGCGGTTGAAGCGCAGTGGCTGATTCGCAACATTCGTCATTTCCCTGTACGTGTATTTTCATTGGCTAAATTAATCAAGTGCAGCAAATGTCCCCCGACTAGCGCTTTTGTTGTGCGTGTTGTATGCGCCGAGCCTTCGACTGTGCTCCGTCCCAAGAAAACAAACTGTATGGTGAGTACATATGCTGTGAAAGACATATTTGAACCATTTTCCTTTTCTTCTGCTTCACTGAATGCTAGAGTAGACCAATTACAATTTTTCTAAAGCCCATTTCGGCGCAACTTTGAGCAAAAATGGCATTTTGGTTCAAAATGTAGCGCTTTCATTCATGGCGCAAACGGCGCAGCACTTTCATCACTGTGCCAGTTTTAACGAATGGTTAGGAGAGTCCCAAGCACGTTCGCCGGCGATTCTACTGTATATTTCGACTGGAGCGCCACGTCTCACCCTTGCGGCATTTTACGTCGTCAATCTTCACGCGGGGCATTATGAGCTGCCTCCGCTCTTTTCCCAACAGCTCCTCTGGAACACCGTAATTTAGCTTCTTCCGTAAAGCCCTTCACTCTTCAACAGAACAAATGCTGGAAAGGGGGCGAGTCCGTCCTCATCTCCTCTCCACCCCTGCAACAGTCGAAAGAGTGGAGGGCTTTCCTGGGGACAATTTGTCAGATGCATATTCTCAAAGAAGACAACTCACAGAAAACAGTATTCTGTTTATGTGCTCACAGTATTAACAAAAAAAAAAAAAAAAAAAACATTTTTGCGACCATTTGTTCTTGTAGTCAACCGAATGAGGCAGAGCAGCAAAAATCAATGCACACAAAATATGTATCAAAGATAAGGCTCCACACACATTGTTTAAGCAACAGCAGTTCTTTAAGCTAAAACACACTGAACGAGGTACACTGCACAGTATTGTTAATATAAAAAAAAATATCCGAAGTTATTGACACTACAGTAATGACTACGAGGACAAAGGAAAGCAACTGAAATGTTGCGCGTCTTTGCGCTATTGTTACCGAACCCAATGATATCACAAGGAGCGTATGCACCCGGCTGCACTTCGAGCCTGTCAGAGCATGTGCCCTATTCTAGTGCAACTAGCCAGGAAGAATGTTGCGGCTGAACCAGTAGTGCTGTTTAGTCAGATTGTTTATCTAGGAGGATAAAATGTTGCAGACTTGGAGTGCATGATGCTAATTATAAGAAAGGATAAGAGGGGAAAAGAGCCCCGCAGGACATTCTTGGCACATAGCCAATATAGCTGACCAAACAAATCCTAGCATGCTGCTAACCCAGGTAGTCATTTGAAATGCACATTGGTAAACAAGACCGTTACCCTCCATCTACCGATTACACTTTTGCGATAGTGCTGCCACGATTCACCAAGACGAGCTCCATGACACTTTTTGGATCTCGCAGCAGTTACAGCCTTTTAAACATTCTTATTAACCTCGAAAATTAATTAGACAATATGAGGCCACGCACAACTCTGGAACAAAATTTTGTATGAAAATTACCACCATGTGCTGTGCAGGCATGCAGTTTTATCATCGCAGCTTTACAAAACAACAGACAATGCTGGGTTAGTTGCAACATTTCTTGCCATTTTCATCTGCCCTTGGACAGGATGTTAGACATGGTTAAGATATTATAAATGAGCATTAGTGAACTTTCTACTCAAAATACATGCAACAAAATCAGCCAGACCCCAAAACACTGGTGTTTAGAAATGATCAATCACATATGCAACGAGAAAAAAAAAAAAAAAAGTGCCAAAAGTGGCAACACATGTGCAATGACTTTACAAACATATCTTGCATCACACATCACATCAGTGTCGCACTATTGCACAAGTCATCGAGTCTCTCTGACCTAACTCCTACCAAGGCCACAGCAGTTTTTTCCTTCTCAGGTTCTCACACCCAAAGTAGACACATGTCGGTTTCTAAGGTAAAGACAAATTAAAACGTGACTAATAGTTGGTTTCACTTTGGAGCAACCAAACCTACTGCTTGGTTATGCAAACACAAAGGTTTAGAACTTAAATTCACCCCCAGAGAATGCAAGAGGGCACAATAAAATGCATCACAGGTGTTTTTTTTTTCTTTTTTTTAACGTTTCACTCTGCTACATACAGGATTAATTAATGGACTTTAATGTCAAGATTTATTTTTAGACAATTTATGGGTCTATCAGAATTTCTCGGATATTGTTTCACCTGAACTTGAATGTGCCTTACTACACTTTGTTGGAACATTTCTAGTTCCATGCACCATCATTTTCCCACAAAAGTTCACCATTCACCATGTACCAAACTCCTGTAATATTGTCCACAAGTGGACACATTAAATCTCTCACCAGGAAAGCCGTTGGCTCACTCCACTCGCATACATGTTTTGCTGCAATGCAGCCTCACCAAGATTGTCCCAGATATTAGGAAACATTCTTGCATTTGTTTCCTACTACACTCTGCCTCAGTCCAAAGCCCATTTCACATGGTACAATATTTGTCCAATCGCAGCGAGATTCCTATCATTTTGCGATTGAAATCGCAGTCGCGCTGCCAATGTCGCTGTGCTGCAGAGAAAATTTTGTGGAGTGTCACTAAAATGTACGCTGCAGAAAAAAAAGAAATGTCCAAATTTTTTTTTTTTTTTTTTTTTTGCAGTTGTTTTGTGTGAATTGGGTATGTCATTGCAAAAGGCTAACGCTGAAGAACGAAACTCGCGACAGCTCTGCACATAAGTACACTACGACGGTTGCTTGCATCGCTTCCGACGCCAACTGACTCACGGGGGCTGTGACCTTCGTCTTTTCCAAAGTCAGACCGAGACAAATTATAGCAACACTGAAATGGGGCGACGTCACACACAATTTGTTTGCCAGGTTTAAATCAACCCCAACTGGCCGTTCGCACCAGTCAGACAGAGAAACAAACATTCCAGACTAAGTCGGCCTGCCATCCTGGCAACTGTGTGCAACCAACTTGTCTCGTCAAGGTTTGTACAGGGAAGCTTCTCCAACAGACACTGTCCATCGATCCTCTGCACTTCACTGAAATGGTGAAGGGAAAACTCACCGTGGCACACCAGGCAGTGCAAACACAGCTCCCACAAGACAGAACAAAAAACGGTACAATTTCGAGAATGTAAACGTGTGATGTGAACCGGCAAAAAGAACGCAGTTTCAGACTGTCCACTGCGACTATGTATGGTAGCGCTTGGCTGCTCCTGCCAATGGAAGGATGTAGGAGTGCCAATGTGATGCTGGATCATACTCGGGAAAGGTAGCTCTCACATTCCTGCTTACCTATTTCCGTACCAATCCAAAGGTAATACGAGCCTGTTTGCGATGCAGGGACAATCAAATTAGTTCACTGTCATAACGACTTTACAGATGCAAAAGGCCAAGGCCCACATTTATCATGCGAGTACTAGCAATTAGGTTCTTGTTCTCCCTGGTCGGCACTGGTTGTTTTGATTTTTTCGCCGACGACACGATTGAGCAAGCGCGTCAGAATGGTTCTGTTGGACTTGCTCCAAGGCTCGTGCCCCATGGACGCAAACGGCGCAAAGAATCACGCGCAACGAGCACTGACCTAACAAACTGTTTGGTGCAGGGAACCCATCTTCGATGCCAAGTATAAGCTGCGCTCTACAAAGCAAGTGTGGTGCTTGCAGTCAAAGGTAATGAGTGAAATTCAGAAGCAGCTAGTCAAGCCACTTCCGGAATTGTTGGTTCAAGCCACCTTCCCACAGTGCCAAAACAGCGTGGAGTGCTCAAAATATATAGGACAGCGAAAGCAGCTTGTACATACATGACTGCAAGTGTGGCCTAAGGGCGCCACAATTTTGATCAGTTGGGGTGCACTTGGGCGCGGCTACGATCCAAATATGGCGTGATAATCGGATCGTAGCCGCGTCCAAGCGCATCCCAAGTGAGCAAGATGGCGGCACGCTGAGGCCAAGCTTGCAAACGTGTCTAGCAACATACGCACACCACTGACAATTTCTCTGGTTCAAGAATGGCTCGGAGGGCAGATGCAAACATCAAACTGAAACCTCCTTAAAGGGCGTACTGCGTCCGAACGTTGTCAGTGCATTGCGGGTGAAAAACAAACATTGATCTGGATGCAAAGTCGGCGCAATAAAATCTACTCTACTCAAGTTTCTCCCTTCAGTGTTTGTGTTGAAACTCCAGGACACGCTTGTCGACTGAAAGCAACGGTTTTAAAGGCCGTTTTTGTTTGTCTTCGGGAAAGGCAAAACCTGGTCAATGTCCTTCCTCCAGGCAACCGAGATGCACAACCACAATGCGCAACCGGAACTGTGATGCACAACCATGACTTGCAGTGTGCTCGTCTTCTACGGGTGCCGCCTTCAGAGCGCCAGTTGCTGCTGGAACATCTGTGAGCAGATCTTGCGGTTGATGTCCGCCAGGATGTCCGAATACAGTTCCAGCTTCTCCTTCGAGGCTCCCGCAAACATGTCCTCCTCTTCCTCGTCCGGCATCTCCGGTTCCACCGGGGCTGAAAGACTGGTTATTGTCAAAACTGCGGTGCGGAGCCCAACCAAAACCAAAAGCCGAAACCGTGCCGTCATGCCCAAACATTGCTTGCAAAATGACAGGGAGCAGCACACCAAGTGAGCACCCTTCCCTTTGTTTTAAGGATGTCCCTCAGCTTTTTGTGCGCAACCAAATAAATAAATTTTTAACAACGAGTAATCTGATTAGTATCCCCCAAAAATGAGGACGCTGCTGGCAGAAAAGTAAAAAGTCCACGCTATTAGAAGCACGAAGACACACTCATCTTCCTAAACAGTAGTTCATTCCGGCGGCCAGCTGTCCAATACAACCAGACACAAAAAACCGCCCCCAAGTTGGGCAGGGCTTTACATACAGTCAAACCCGTTTATAACGAACAGCAAGAAACGCTACGATCAATTCGATATAGCAAGTAGTTCGATATAGCAAAAAACACTTACAACGAACTTCCACGATGAGTTTGTTGTAAGGCGAGAGCTTCTCTTTTTTTCTCATCTCTTCACTTCCGTCTTGTAACAACGTGCTATATAAAAAGTTTTTTTTTTTCCTTTTTTTTTTTTTTTTTTTTGCATGCCTGCAGAGTTTGTTATTTTAGCTTATCTCCCCTTCTGAATTGCTTCTCTTCGTGGGCAAACGCTTTGGAAAGTTTACCATTTTTAGACCACCTGAGACTGGGTGGAAGAAACACGACGACGTTGAGACGTCGTCGTGTTTCTTCCACCCAGTCTCAGGTGGTCTACCAAAATGGTAAACCTACACCAGCTCGCCTGCACCCTAATTGGTTTTTGCTTTGGAATGAAACTTTTTTTTTTTTTGTGCCTGCGTGCAGAGTGGATCTTTAGCTTCCTCCCTTTCTGAATCGCCTCTTTGCTCAAATTCGTTTGCAACTTGAGCTTTTGGAATTTTCTTTCTTTCCTACTTCTTTTTTTGGGGGAAGGGACAGGCTAGGAGACGATTGTTAGCGCTTTTTTGGAAGCCTTCCCGGGGGGAAAAAGTTTGATATAGCCAATATGTTATTCGTTATAAAACATACTTTTTACACATATTTTTATTTAAATCTTCCGTGAGTTCGATATTGACAATAATTCGCTGTACATGGGTTCGTTCTAAACGGGTTTCACTGTACACATATGCACAGTGTTGCTAGACTAAAGCTCTATCGTAGCCCCCTACCAGGCAGCATAAGCAACACATGCCGCTTAGATTGTGATAAAAATCGTGACTTAGATTATGATATAGATCACGTCCATTTTTTCTTTCCGCCCTGCTACGAAGTACCATACCACAGGCAATTAATTGGTGGATGGTAACCAGCCCACTCAAGGGTATCCTTGTGGGCAGTGCAGTCTGTGCAGACTCCGAAATTAGGGCATACAGGCTGCTATACGAATCGAGGGGATTGACGCAAAACGAGCCGGAAAAATCGGCGCTTGCAGGTAACGAGCTCAAACTTCCATCGAAGGTATAGACAATTCCACTATATAGAGCGTGGAGGGAAACATCCACCCCTCTCACTCTGGAGCGCCATCTACTTTGCAGACTGGGCAGCATCCAACGTCTGGTTGGCGTGCAAACACGGCTGAAAATCGTATCGTTTTGGCAAGATTATGAGCAAATGATTTAGACGTGCAAGTTAATGTAAAATGTTATACTTAACAAAGAAACGAACCGGGCAAAATTTTGCCGTCACCTGCCACACAAATAAAAGAGAAAAGGGAATATAACCCTGTAAACAATGTGAATGATCCGTCACCTCCGGCGAGTCGTGAATGCGGTTGCAGTAGTTTCTTTTGAGATAGTGTTTGTACCGATTTTTGGGCCATGTGTGAAAAGTCCAGATTAAAAAAAAAAAGTAACCAAATATAACCCAAATGTGCTCCTTTTTTTTTCTTTTTTTACAAACAATGAATTTGCACATATTTTATTCCCTGCTAGCTCTGGATATGAAGACCCTTACATTATCGCAGATTTTCGTGGTGGTCTATTTGAAACCAAAATAGCTTTTCTTTATGTTTAACCATAGGTGGTACCTAAAAAGCGACTAATGAGAACGCAAGTGACTTTAATGCATCGCCAAAAACCCAATGACGGGTGGCGCTGGCAGCGGCATTTGCAAAAGGTCGTTTATACTAATGAATAAAAAATTATAAGCCAGCTAACCTCGACAAAACGGCACTTCCTTGGTTAGCGAGATTCGTAAGGGAAACCGCTCTGGGTTTTAATGTTTCTGACCCCGGAAGAAAAATTTTACGTCTGCATGGTGTTTCCCAAAAACCAAGCAAGGCTTTTTCCAACTCAGAACTGTCAGGATTCTATTTTCTGCTCATGCAATAGATGCAGCGGTTGAGAGTAGTACTGCTGGTGAATGACATTGCTATTAAATTTACTAAGTGAATGAAGCTACGCTAGCTAATTATTTCCTGAAATAAAATAACAGAGCGCAATAGACTGCTTGTGGAGTAGTCATAAATGTTCATGAGACGTGAACCACTTCACAGCGGCAGGAGAGAGCGTGTGTTATACGTTCGGTCATAGCCTCCTCTATATTCCCAAAGCCTGGCAGTTCGACGACGGAGCCATAGAGTGCCCGGCCGCAGATTTGGAGTGCGAGGACCTGGTAGTACAGAGCATCAAAGAGTCACTTCTCGGAAAACCTGGACGTTAGTGCACAGCTTTTGCAGCGGCGAGGACCCTAAACACACTTGTTTGCTCGGGAGAAGTGTGTTTCGACGCTTCGCCGCAGTGGGGCGCCGGTGACGTGGCTCTCCTCTCATCTGTTATCTGCCGTTCCACCCATTCCATTTCAATGGCTGCTTCTCATGGTGATCTGCCAGGGTTTGTGAGTATGTAGGAGACAATGGTTCAATACAGCACCCAGGTATAGCCCAAAAATGGAGACTGGACAGTTTGTCATCTGATATCAGGATCAAAATCGGGCACGTGCCCTCTCCCTCTTTTGCCTCGTCAAATTCTGGCTCCAACCTGAGAGTGCCTAATAGAATGCAGAATTTCAAGCAAAGTTTCAGCGCGTCACATTACCCCAAAATATTTGTAGCAACTTTGACACATAATTTCCCTTTCGTAATGCCCCTGAATGCGTGAGGGTCACTCACGAAAACTTTTTTCTTTGTGGACATAAACAAAAAAAGTATGTACAGTGAAACCTCGTTATAACAAAGTTGAAGGAGCGGTCGTAATTATTTCGTTATAACCATTAGTTTGTTATAGCCAATGTCCATTTCTTCCCACTATTAGCAAGCAAGGGGAATTATGATTGCTTTGTTATATCCATTAGTTTGTTATATCCCGTTTTGTTATAACGAGGTTTTACTGTAGGTCAAAAGGATGAAGGCACAGAAAAGGACAAAAGACACACAGAAGTGCCGTTCCTTTTCTGCGTCTTGGTCCTTGCGTTCTGTTTTCCTCATCACATACTACGAGGAAACTCGTTAATTTGAACCCGAGGGGGACCAAAACTTTGTTTGAATAATGCAAAGTTTGAATTACCGGGGATTTTCCTTCCTCGAAACACATAGCACAAGACCTGCATGTTAGTTTGAATTAAGAGAGTTTAAATTAACGAGATTCTACTGTAGCTTCGTTCGATTTAGCTACACCTCCTACGCCGGTGCAGAAAAGTGTAGGGCAGTGCACTTCCGGTATGTGCGTCGAGATATGATTAAAAGTATGCTGCCCTACACTTTTCTGCACCGGTGCAGGAGGTCCAGGTAGATCGAACGCAGCCACTGTCTACCAAGTTGCTCGAGTCGCTACCCACCCGGGGGTGGCTTGGGCGGCCGAGCCTGGAGCTTGGCCCTGCCCTGCTGTCGGCGGCCTTCCTCGCTCGAGTCATCGTGAGAGGAGGGGTTGCGGGGCCGGCCCCTGCGGTTCGTGCCCAGGCGCCTGCGCTGGGCCGCTGCCCGCTGCCGGGCGCGCTCCTCCAGCACCAGGGCGGCCAGGTAGCTCTGCCGCTCCTTGCGCACCCGCTCCGTGCGGCGCCGGCCCCCGGGAGGGTCTTCCGCCGCACGGGACGCCTGGGTCCGCCGGCTGGCGAAGAACTCGTGCCCGCACGGGCAGCTCTTGCACGCCACGGGCACCTGGAGGGGAGGGGGGAGGGGCGTCGGTACGCTGCCCGAACGTGTCTCGGATCGGCGCGTTTGGCGTCCTATTCTGCCCGTGCGTCCCAAAGTGGCAGCAAATGACATCGCAAGAGCCAGAGCGTTGGGTTATCCAGGCATGGGCAGTCAAAAATACAAGTATCCTTGATACTATCCTTTTTTTTTTTTTAATACAATTTGTGTATCAGTATTTATTTATTTATTTAAAATATCCTCAGGGCCATCGGCATTACAGACGGGAGTGGGGGTTAGTACACTTTGATAATCAATCGGAACAGTATATATTATTGACGGCCGTTTTAAATAGATGATCAATGGCAATTGTGGCTATCGGTGCGGGAAGATGGTTCCAGTCCACAGAAGTGTAGGCATTGCTTGCCGGAAATTAAGGCAAAATTGCTTTTCAGTTCTTTATTTTAGATGTGACGGAGATAAACTCCCACAATCATATGACTGCGGTCTGAAAAAATGTACAGTCGCTGTAGCCACATCATCTGCAGTCCTTACTGAACAAGCTGATTCTTTAGTGAGAGACCGTTCAGGCAGCGAGCAAAGCTCACTGGCAAGAAAAGCACTGGGCGTTTTTAGATAAAATTTAACAGCCATGTCCAATAACCATTTTTAATTTGGATAAAAAAAAATATTTTGCTGGCTCCATGCCAAGAATAAAAACAATCCTTGTTTTAAAGAAAAAAGATTTGTCTTTGCGAAAAAAATTTGTAAGCACCCTCTCAGTCACGCATGCGTTTTGCGTATCGCGCAATGTTGGCTCTTCGGGCGGCGTCCCCCAAAAAACTGTTCTGGCTATGGGTCTAGAACTATTCACTGACAAATTAGGCATAGGAAAGATTGACAAAAAGTATTAATCACCGAGTATTTGGGTCGTTATTTTGAGAAACGAAATCGCAAATATGGCACATTGCGCAATAACGCTCTGGATTAAAGTTTTTTTATTTGTATCTATGAAAGCTAAGGTCTTCAAACTTTACCGGTGTGTTGCCCTGTACTTAGTTAATCTTTGCATGAAATGCCGTTGTCCTGGTTAGCGGCAGAAATTTACAAGAATTGCTCAACTAAAAATGCATTATTGTGAAAATCATTTAAAAAAAAGGCAATCTTTAATTTCCTTTAAACTCTCCCATATTAACATTCATAATATGTAGTAATAGAATCTGCAAAAACATAATGCAATATCTGTGTGTCTTTGAAGTTATAAAGCGAGAAATATGGCCAAATTCACGCTAACGCGGTTGCCATAAATAGGGCGTGCACATACCCATTCTTCACAATTTCATAATTATTAAAAAGCGTAAAAATGCTACGGCTAAACTGACAGCACAAAGGTGGACGGTAGTTTTGAAGGGAAAATGCCCAATACATTTTCGTACAACCGACTCGAAAAATGCCCATGAACCCGAGCGAACGAGAGGTGCCACCCTGTAACATGCTTCGCGGTGCCTGTTTCAACATCCTGCGCGAGACATCTGTCTACACAACGTAATTGTGCAGAGACTCTACATAAAATAAAAGGAGGTAAACATGTATTATCGATTACTAAGCAATTCAGAGCTTTATGGATTCGGTTCTTAAAGGGACCATGAAGGCAGTTTCGAAGTTTTATTCGACGATTGAAATGGATGTCAGGCACGTCTCAGATACTGTTGACCAAGTTCTAGCCCGAACAGAAGTTTGGGTGCCGCACCAATCGAGCAAACAGGCGCAGTAATAATAGCGCCGAGAACGATGCCTGAGACCCCACCGAGGCGGCGGCAGAAAGGTGAACTAAAGTGCGCCGAAGCGTGACGACAACGGGCTCCTCGTCTGGCGATTGGTTCAAACGATAGACGCGCTCTTGGTTTCGATTTCGGTGGTGAGATGGGATGAAAAAAGTTTATTTGAACGTTGGATAATCTTTTGAAGTTGTAGTTGGGAATTAATAGGTTTCATACCGTGTATAAATGCATAATCTGAAGCGATCCCTCCGTTTGTCACTGGTTGAACGCATCCCGCACTGCTACCTCGGGCGCGTAACAAGCATTGAGCAACCATGGACAAAAAAAAAGAAAAAGGTACGAGCGCCGGGGGCGGTAGACTTTTGGTTTTGGTTTTGTGCGTCGTCTCGTGTTCGCTTTGCGATTGTTGTCTCACCAATCATGCCGCGTTTATGTGCAGTAGTAGGTTGCGCGAAAGGTCGGCTAAAGACGTGCGGTCGATCGGGCGACGTTAGTTTGCATAAACTGCCGACCGATGCAGCAATGCGCAGCATTTGGTTGCGCGCCGTTGTCTTGCGTAGAGCTGTGGACAGCGGTGTCAGGATTTGTTTGTTGCATTTCCGACCAGAAGACTGAGCAGCACCTTCACGTCAGCCGGAGTCTGGGTAAAAGTGGGGCGGGGAGTCACTCTGAGGTGGTGACCAAGGAGTTGGTGGTAGGTCTAGGGCGCCCTCGTAAAGCGCCAATCCAGAGTTCTGCGTCCTTAGCAGCATCTCCCGTTCAGCCGGCATGAGGACGCTGAACGGGAGCTCAAACTCGTTTGCGAGCGCGGCGTTGTCGTCCATTTCTTCCAGGTTTTCTTCACAGACCGCCGTGCACTAGAGCGAACCACGGGAACCGCACTGAGTGTGCACTAAATCCTACCGATGCCGACAGTGCTCCCTGACGTCACTTCTCTTTCCAGAGGCGAAAAAGGGAAGAAATCTGGATGTTTGTTTCGGTTTCGCAAATTTATTTGCAGGTACAAAAATAAGAGTCACAATGTTCTAGAAAAAATTGTGTGGCATGCCAGGACCCCAATGCTTCCAAAAACACCTTTTTTTAAAAAAAAAATTAAATTGCCTTCATGGTCCCTTTAAAAGACTGGAAGTCAAATATTTTTAACATGATTGTGACACATTTGTTTCATTTAAAATAAATTGTCATTGAACCTGAAAACGATAACCTTTCTAAAAAAATACCCTGAAACGGAGACATGTTACCGATTCTGCAATGATTGGAAAATCAGTTTAAAATGAAGGCCATCTTAATTTTTCTTCTGCTTTTCACAAATCAAGGCTCATAATGTGTCCTTTCAGGCCCTTCAAAATTGCTTTGCAATATTCTTGTATTTTTGAATTTACAGAGCGCTAAAATGTACATAATTGTCATAACGGGAGTATAAAAAGATAGGACATTGCCGATTTCAAACAAGGGCAAGAAAGTAGTCGAAACATGTAGGAAGTCTGAAGAGAAAGCACAGCGACAGGAGTTCGTGAAAAATAAGAACTTCGCTAGCATGTTGCCCTGTATTTTGCTAATCATTGAGCTAAATATTTCTGTCCTGATCAGTGGGACAAACTTACAAGAAATAGTCAAATTGGACCATTTTATAAATATGTATAAAGTTGAAAATCAATAAAAAAAAGGGACACCTAAAATTTCTTTTTTCATCTTCTCCATTTTAACTTTAAAGGGCCCTGAAAAGAAAAAAATATTTTTTTTTTAAACAGCCGAATTGGGACACACGTGTCAAAAAATAAATTTTAAACAAAATTTTTTTTTGTTTGGGGGGACTGTTGAATAAATTGCGAGACGCGGTTTAGTTTGCAGTCACCTCCTTTCCACTTGTTTTCTCTCTCGGCATTTCGGGCGCGTGGAGGACAGGTGGAACGGCTTCCCCTTCAAGACCGAGATGGTCATTCCAGAATGACCAGTGACATAATGGACTTCGCGAGCAGAATTTCAAACAAATCTCTTGCCGTCAATATTGCTTTAAAATTTTGCGTAAAAATTGTTTTTTTGACATGCGTGTCCCAACCAGACTGTATTAAAAAAAAAAAAAACTTCTTTTGAGGTTTTTTTTAATGATATGTACGAACATAATCTGCAAAAACAGTGTTGCATTAGCTTTTTAAGTTATAAAGAGAAAAATCTGGCCAAATTGAGGATAATGCGCTGCCGTGATTGGGGTGTTTACATATTCATAGCCGTGAAGTTCATTACTTTAACACAGCATAAACATGCACAGGCACTGTCAGAAAGAAACAAATTCACGGCACAGGAGCAGACGGGGGATTTCAAAGCGAGAATTCTGGGTGCATTTTTGTACTAGAGTCTCAGAAAATGCGCTTCGCAGGACCTGTTAGCAATCGTCTGCGTGAAGCGCCTCCGTGCACGCCACATTAAAAAAAAAAGCATCCGGAGTGGCCCTGCTTCGCACGTGTTTATCTCGGACTTTTGCAGCGTGGTAACACGATATGGAGCGGCAGAACCGACAGTGCCTCCGCACGGCAACAGAACCGCCGTTGCAGTGCGTTGCAAAACACAAGAATGTTCAATTCGGCCAACGGAACGTAGGAAGCACTATACTGTTCCCCCCCCCCCCCCCCCCCCCCCCCAAGCCGGCAGTGTGGCGAAAGCTATGTGTCCGCTGATATCTCCATCTTTTGCCATGTGATCACACTCCCGCTTACACCACCGCAGAGAAAGCGGGCACAGCTGACGAAAAAGAGGACTGGTTCCACGAGCACCTAGCTCACGCATGTGGTACTCACGGACGATGCTCGAGATGAGTTCACCATATGGTCCCCGAGAAAGATCAGAGAAAGCAGTCATTGTTTCCAGTGGCGTACCAACTTGTTTTTGAGTGGGGGGGCAAACCAGACCCTCTCCCCCCCCCCCCCCAAATCGAAAATTCGGCGCAACTTTTGTCCAACTTTTCTAAAGATTTGGCAATGATTCGGCAAAATTACAACGTTACCAGACTTAACATTCATATTTTGTTTTTTCTCACGAAAAAATTTTTGCTTCTTCTTAAAATAAATACAACTTGTAGTGCCTATTGAAAGAGTTATGACTAAACAAGGTGATATTCTAGAAGATAATTGTATCGATGTCGCTTTTGTGTGTTTACTTGTAATTTTGGTGTATGCTTCCAGAAAGTGGCGGGACAACGAGGTTGGGTAGTAGCCGGCACAGTCACGAATCACACTACGAGAGCTTTGA